GGTGTGTTGGCGAGGGGTCGTGGTTTTGGGAGAAGTGGGAGTGGCGGCCGGCGCTAGGCGGCGGCGGGCGCGGGGATGTAGCTCAGCGGTAGAGCGCATGCTTCGCATGTATGAGGCCCCGGGTTCAAGCCCCGGCATCTCCAGCTCGGGGGGAGTGGGGTAAAAAGAACCCCCCCCCTCTTCACCCCTTTTTTTTTGAGGGGTGGAAGGGGGTGAGAATAAAGACCCTGTGGGGAAGATCAACCCCATTACCCCTATTTGTATTCCTCCCGCCTCGGAAAACCCACAACCTCTTACCCATTTCCCCCCCTACCATGTGTCACACCAACCTCTCTCCCCCCGGGAATTTTTCCAATTATCAGAACAAAGTCAATAATTACATTTTGGAGCAGCAGAGTGGCGCAGCGGAAGCGTGCTGGGCCCATAACCCAGAGGTCGATGGATCGAAACCATCCTCTGCTAATTGTTTTCTCTCCCCCGCTTCTTTTTTCTCCCCTTTCCCCTTTTTGCCATGTTCTGCATTTGCTTCACAACCCTCAATGCTAAACACTAAGAATAAATGAAACCCCCAATATGGATAAACATCCCCCACCACCATCACCAAGTTTACTGAATTTCTCTCCTTCCTGAAAGTCACGAAAAAAAAAAAATCCCTCCCTAAAAAATTCACGATGTTCAGGAGAGAAGAATTTTTTATTTTTTTTTTTTTTAATGAAAAACAGCAGTCAAAGGTAACAGTGGAGGAGGAGGTAATGTGCTGAGCCGTTGCCTGGCCAAAAACTCCTCAAGTTTCAACCTGTTCTCCAAAAACCCACAAAGGACCCGGTAAAACAGCGATAGAGGGGAGTTTGGAACGCTGATCCCGCGACGAACGTGTGGATTTTGGAAAAAAAAAAAAAAAAATATCATTTCTCAAAACCCACAGTTGGGTACCGGGACCATCCTGCGCGTTGAGAGATATCGGTCGTTTCACTTCAAAGAGGGAGTTTTAATTAGAATAAATTACTTTGGATTATGATATAGCCTTATTTATGCTGTTTGCCCCATGTGAGTAGTTAGATTTAGGCAATAGAGTTAATTTTCTTAGTAATTTTCCCAGCAGCCAGTCCGGTGCTGCATTTAGTCTTTTAGTACGAGGAAGACGTTGACAAAACCCCAGTATTTTGGGTTTTTTTTCCCCTCCCCAAAGTCTGGGACTTTTCAGTTCCCCATGTTCTGCACATAATGCAGACGATAAGGAGGTGAAAAACCATCTGCAGAGATAGCAAATCGACGAGATAAGAGCAGCCAAAGGGCTGGGACACAGAAAAAAAAAAATCCAAATAGATATTAGAAGACCAAAAATATCACTACATCCATCGCACGTAAAACACTTTATCCCATAAATATGACAGCCCGAGCGATCCCCCTTTGAGCTCCCCCTGAGCGTAGCCGCACGGCGCTGAGCTGAACCCCCTCTTGAGGTTCCTCCTCGGGGCAGAGGGACCTTTTAGCAACGGCAGATCTTTGCTAAGCCACCGATATTGAGCATAAACCTGCAGGATAACTTTGATTTTTGCCTTGGTACCATCGACAGCACGCGGAATTGATGCTGAGGACCAAGTCTGGATGCAGGCTCACCTCGACTCCGCTCTGAAAAGGAGTTTGGAAAATAAGAGGCCACATCCTCAACCTCATGACTCAACAGAAGGGTCTTCCTTACCCTTTGTGTCTCTCGGAATCATTCTAACTTGAGTCTAATTCAATTTTCCTTTGTATGTTTTCCCATGTGTTAATTAAGACCAAACTTTGCCAGCAAGCTTTAAGTCACATTTTTGTGACGTTGCATTAAAACCGCTTTGCTCCTGCTTTTGATGGAGGTTCTTTAAGCCCTATAAACCACCAATTTAAGACAGATTGAGCTCAAACAGGATGGCAGAGTGGAAAGGGCAGGCGTTCCCCAAACGCTGCTCCCGCTCACTCCGTGGGTGCTCAGTGTTGGAATGAGAAAGCAACACTATGCCCGGGACGATAAGGCCTTCAGAGAGCAAAATTAGGTCCCAAAAATTCCTCCAGGACATCACCCCAGCCCCCCAAGTCATCCCACCGATGCCCCAAAAGGTCTTAAGTACATCACCCCCCCAGTACTTCACAGCACCTCCAACAACCTCGGGGACTTCAGAGTCCCCCTCCCCTCCCAGCACTCTATTCTCAGACCCCCACAGCACCCTAAGACACCTCCCAGCACCCCTAGAAGCTTCCAGAACGCCCCAAACCACCCCTAAACTCACTCAGGACCACCTCAGGAGTCTCTGCGGGCGTCCCAACCCCTCCAGAACAGCCCCTCAGGACCCTCTCCCAGCTCCCCGCGGACACCCCAGACACAGCCAAGGCCTCAACCCCCCAACCAAGACGCGGAAAACTCACACACCCCCC